GTCATTGACACAATTTAAGTGCGCTTAAGTGCGCACTTTTTCCATGTCATTGACACAATTTAAGTGTGCTTTTTCTAAAAGTATGCTTTTCCGGGACAGTGCAGTCTTGGTGCCCTCTATACTCTTCATGCATTGGTTGCCTATAGCCAATCAGGATTGTGCGAACTGTGAAAAAGTAAAATATCAAGGACGACATTTTTATTTCATTTTAATTAGTTCAGTGATAGAAGATAAGATAAGAAAATTAATTAATCAGTAAATTCAGTTAGGATGAAATGAACTGAGTTTCGAGCGTAGTGGAAACAACAAACATTATTCTTGTTTGTTTTTGATTGGTTTTTTTGTATACTTTGCTGATAAAATAAGAATTAAACTAATATTTCTTGTCTATAGAGTTAAATTATTTGTATGATATTTTAGATCCGTATGGATAGATTAAGAAACCCAGATCCTCGGCGACGCTCGAGTGATCAAAAAAACAATGGCAGTAGTGTATGTATTGTTCTGTTCAACTAAATGCACTTATTAATAGACAGATTTTCGTTCCATAGAGTATCACAGTAACAACACCACCGGCAGCTATAAATGGAAACTCATCTCCTCAAGAACAGCAGCCTGATTCAAGACCAAAAGTTTCCAGTCTTGTATGGAAATTTGGTGGTGAAAAGAAAAAAGTACCAACATACACATTTTCTCCTTGTAAATGAAAAGTCAAACATATTAGGGATAGTTTTGTTTGAATTCTAAACTTTTTTAGCCGATCAGACAACCCTAGACCAAACGTCGCCACAACCGCATCATCATGATCAAGGTGTGAATCGAAAAGATGTTCACAATATTCAAGTTCTGTCACCAAATCATAGTCAGAATATGTCCCCAAACAATATACAAATTACTCCTCAATTGAAATCTTTTGTAAGTTTTTATTTTAGAAAACTAGGTGGTTTATATGTAGTTGATGTCTTTATTTGTTTAAGATCGAGCAATTAGAAGTAAAAAATAGCGATTTAAAACAAAAGCTACAAGAACAAAATACCCAAAATGATCTGCAAGAAAAAAAAATTCGAGAACTAAATAACTTTTGTAACGCTTTGCAAAACAGGTACAAATTTATTTAATCTAAATAATATGTATAAGTTAGCTATCTTCATCCTGTTTGCTTAGATTGAATCAAAATACAACGGAACATGTAAAAGATGAAGAAAATCTTGTTTGGAAGAATCGTACTGACGCTTTATTACAACTAGTTATAAAATTTTGTGATGTAAAGGTATATTTTAGAAAGAATGAAACACAAACATTGGCGGGCTGGGAAAGATTTTTTAGAAGGGGCAATAGATTTTTAGAGTTGTGCATACACAAACTATAGATAAAATAATATATAATTCGAAATATACTTCTTCACAGGGCAATAACTGCTTATTACCCTTGATATTTTTTCCACGAGGGGCAATTGTCCTACTGGCGGCCCACCAATGAACACAAACTTCGGGATAAACTGAAAGATAAGATCAAGATCCTTTACTAGCAGCAATTATCATAATTATTACCACTATTTGCTACTGTAAAGACTTGGATCAAGAGTTACTAAACAAATGTTATTGTATTTTTTTTAAGGTAGAACAGCAAGAGCCCCATGATCTAAATGATATAATAACAATATTTGAAACAAAAATAAGTCAAAGTAAAAAAGCTGAACAACAGGTATATATTATTTTACATTTTTCTTTTTGGAATAGTCTCAAAAGTTCATATTTTCTATTCATAGAATAAAACACTCGCTGCATCATTAAAATCAAAAGATCAAAAAATAAGTGAATTAACAGCAGAAATAAATGAGATGGTTGCAAAGAATGCTGTTCGTTCAACATCGTCAATGTCAACACCCGTACGTCGTATTGATTCGGCTGATGAAGGTAAAATAACTAATTTTATTTTTTCAAACTAACAAAATATTTTTTTTCTTCTCTAGTTGATTCAGTAAATCTTCGTCGTGAGTTACTTCGTACACGAACACGTTTGAAAGAAGCACAACGTGAATTATCATCGCAAAATAGTCTTCGTTCATCAGGATTGTCAAAACAATTATCACCTACAAATATTTTATCACCGGAGACGTTAGTTAGCGATTTAAGAAAGGATATCAACGATATGGGATGGGAAATCAAAAATTTACAACGTTCAAAAGAATCATTTAAACAAGATGTTGAAAAATTAGAACGAGAATTGCTTAGTGTTGAAACAGCAAAAAAATCAGTAAGTACAAATGGCTGACAGAAAATATTTGTATGTAGATTATTATCTCTTCATTTCAGGTTGAAGATTCAAATGCTTTAATAACAAGAGAAAATAAAGAACTTCGTGCAACCATCGACGAATTAACTGATCAAAATAGAATGGTACTGCAAAATTATCAAAATCATGTTAAAAATTATTCAATACATCAAGATATGGTAACAAAATTGTATGATTCAGTTGCACAAGTGGAAACAGATAATCGACTTTTACAAGAAAAAGTATGTTTTTAGTGTAGTCAGTTCTTCATTTCTTCAATCAAAATGCTGAATCTTCTTTTTTTTGAACAGTTTTTCTTTTCTCTAGTCTAGATGCACATGCGCACTCTCAAATCATTGTATGTTTTCGTAGTGCTGAGAGATATTGTTATACGTATGAATTGATCCATATTCAATTTTGCCTGCATGAATAAAAATGGATTAACATGCTTTATCTAATAGAATTATATCGTTAAAACACTGCCTGTTCCCATTTATTTTTATCTTTGCTAAAATATAATATTTTATGCAACTAAAACCTTAGTGGTAATCTTCATCTGACTGTAGAACATAAAAGGTTAGATGAGAAAAAAAGACGGATACTGTGGTCGTATTGTGTCTGTGCATTTTTATTTAACCACAAGAAAGAACGATTGTGGTTATACGGTTCAGTTGGTTATTATTTTCTTTTGAATGGAGTAGATAGTGTGAAAAAAAAGGAAAATAAAAGTAGTATGTCAAAAAAAAAGAAGTATTTAATGTGGATAAAATAAATATTACATATTGCTTATTTATTTTAATATATTCTATTCATCATGATTTTTTTATTTAAAATAACTTCAACTACTATTTTATAAGTAACTAATAAATTTTAGCTTTGTTGCATGTTGTTACGCAAATGCTGTTCATAACATGAGATAGAAAGAAATACAATTAAGAGTTTTGGGTGCTGAAAAAAATATTATTTTTCAAAATTGAATATTTAATTATTATTTAATTTGACTTCTTTCATTTATTTAGTGTGGATTTTTAGAAGAAAAATTAAAAATTAAACACATATCATTGGTTGATAAAAATGAATTAGAAAAATTGGAATCTAAAAATCGTGTATTACAATTACAATATGATTATGAAATTGCTCGTCGTGAACATGTTGAAGTAAAATTAAATTTATATTATCATTTCTTTTTTTAATAAAAATTTCATTTTTATATTTTTTTAGCGTCAATTAAATCGTTTACAAGATAATGTTAAACAATTACAATCAGAATTACAATATGTTGAAGATAAAGGAAAACGTTCGGATGATCAACAGAAATTAGCTGATCGTTTATGTCGTGATTCTAAAGAAGAATGTGAAATATTACAATTAAAAATAATGGATTTAGAAAAACGTTTAAGTTTAGTTGAAAAAGATAAAGATATTGTTGAACAAGAATTACTTTTATGTCAACAACGTATAAATGCTACACAATATCGTATACAACGTTATCAAGATGCATTGGTTAATGCCGAAAATGAATTGGACGCATTATCAGATGCAAGGTAAAATTGATTTTATTTCTATGTTAATATTGTAATCTATTTTTTCTCTTTTTTTGATATTTTTAGCTTTAGTGAAGAAGTTGGTAGTTTAAATGGTGGAGAAACAATATCGATGAAAAGTCGTATGTCACATAATGTGACACGTTCTCAAAGTGAAGTTTGAGTCAGAAAAAATAGGTATGTACCTCGTATTGTGTTGTACTCGAGATTTAATATAACATAAATTAGAAAATTTTATGGACAAAAGTAATAAATTAACTATGAATTTCATTTTATTTTTAGATATGACTATTCACAGAACAAATCGTCCACATTTGAATCTAAAATATGAAAAAATAGATTTATTTTTCCTTTTTTCTAATAGATGTATAGGGAATTTCTTTTGAATTCTACTGAAACTATCTTTTTTTTCAATAACGTTAAGCAAAATACTTAGAAATTTTTTGTTTACTGATACTTTAGAAACTTTGAATTTTTCTTCTACAAAAAAAAAATTTAGTATTTCTTTTGTTTTTCTTTACGAATTCATGGTAGTATATGTTTAATCATTCGTCTATTGAACATATGTTTTTCTATAGCTTTTTATCAAAATATTGTAGAATTAATATTATCTTTAAACTTTTCTAAATAGAAGATTTTTTTGAGGGTCTTTTTTCTATATGTAGATGATAATCTAAATATTTTTGCTCTTCAAGAAGTAGAGACGTTTTACTAGTATCAGGAATGCTCAAAGAATTTTGTTTTAAAACAAAATAATCTTCTATTCTTAACAGTCTGTGACTTTTTTTCTGTGTCTTTTTATATAAGTAACTTAATCGCCTTTATCATTGGAAAAAATCTTCTTTTTTTTTCCGAACATAATATATCTCGATACATTCCAGTTTGTTGTATATTTGTCAAATCAAATTAATGTTGATATGAACAAATTGTGTATAGGTAGTTCTTCTACTCTCATTTTAAATTGCTCAAACAACTGTTGTTATCTATTTGATGTTTTTCTTCTATGTAATTGATGTTAATTCGAGAAGAAATAAATTGTTGTGAAAGAGCGAGAGACGGTTAAGATGTGTAGTTGTTTGTATTTTGTTTGTTATTGTTGTGACTCTTCTCAACACAATCAATCTTTTTTTATGTGATTTTTCTGTTCTTTCTTTCATTTCCGAGGCGCTTAATAAAATCAATTTTTTTTTCTGTCTTTTGTCAATGTTTTTCTTGTCTGTTTTTATTCCATCGAGTCTAACATTTATTTCTTTTTTTTTAACGCATTTCTCTTCATTTAATATTCTATGTAATAAATACATTTATATATATATATGTGTGTGTGCTACGAACAAATAAAATACATTTTTTACTCGATAGATACTGGATTTTTTAAATTAAAATATTGACCGTACAAATGAGCTAATGTTCTTCAGATTTTGTCATGCCATGATTGAAAGTGTTTAAAAGAAAAATTAATTGTTACATGCCTAACTACAATTCGTATCTATAAAGAATAGTTTTGTTTTTCTTTTTATAGTAACAATTTTGAAGAGAAAAAAAATTGATCGACTTTATTGCTATTTAGTTTTAGATATGAATAAAATTACATACATATGACTAATCCAGATTCACGTTTCTCAATAATATTAGATCAATTCACAAATGAACTTCAGAGTTCAAATGATGAAGTGCGACGAAAAGCAACAGACGGTTTATATGATCGTGTCATAACACTCTATTCCGATGTATGATTCCATAAAACTAATATCAATTAGTAATTAGCAATATTCTTAATTTTTTGTTTGTTTATCTACATATTAGGCATCATCTGAAACAATATCAAATGTTGTTGATAATGTACAAGATTATGTGAAAAAAAAGTTGAGTAATCCAAATGACGTAAATGAAAATCGAGCAGCATTTCATGTGATATGTATGTAGGCATTATATATCTATTTTATAATTTATAAAAATTGTTAATGGATATTTCAGTATGCTTTATTTGTGCTGGTGCGGCGTTTTATACCGAATTGAGTAATAAACTAGAAGGTGTTATTCGGCAATATAAACAAATGTCAGTAGATACAAGCTTGTGTGACTTAGCGATAAAAATAACTTGTATACTCGTGAAAGTAAGAACATGTTTTTTGAATAAACAAAAAATAAATAAATAAATAAACGAATTTTGTTTATTCTAAAGGGTTGTGATCGTTCCAATGTTGATCATTTTCAATCTGATGTACCAAAAGCACTTGAACGTTTAGGAAAAGATGAAAAACATGAAATAAGACGTTATAGCGGAGTACGTGAAATAAACCGAAAAAGAAAACTAAAAATTAATCGTTATTAAATTTCAGGTTATTATGTTGAAAGAAATTGCTTTAATATCACCTACAAGATTTTTTCTTCTTATAACACCATGTGAACAGTTTTTAGAACAATTATTTGCATCAATGGCAGATCCAAAAGTAGGCATACATTCCAGTTGCTTATTTGCAAAAAAATACTCTTCCTTATGTTTCAGCAATACATCCGTGAAGCATTTGCCGAAACGATACATGCAACATTAGTTGTATTAATTGATCGTGAACGTGAAGAACAGAAAAACAACAGTGATATCGGAAAAGAAGCACAAATAACAACATTCTGTGATGCTTATATGGTATAAAAGGTGCTAAAGTCATTTATTGCTTCTAATGTCATTCTTTTAATCTGGTAGTTGGCCTATAATGAAGCAATGAGATGTTTAGCGGCTATACAAACAAAAGAAAAAACAATTCAGAAAGATGATCGCATTCATGGCGGTTTATTATTGTTAAATGAACTATTTCGTGTGGCTGATGTCAAATTTGAAGTATGCCGTAACACTAACTTCGCTTCTCGAAATTCAAACACTATTCGATTTTTCTTCGGTCTTAGAACATTTGCCAAGATTTAATTTATCCGTATACAGCAGCTAAACCAAAACCAGTGTCATATAAAGTAAGAAAAATACCTGAAATATGTTATATATCCACGACAATTTATCACATTTTGTTGCATAAATCGATTGTGAACTGATACTATAATGTATGATATTGGATAGAAATGTTTTTTCGAAGTTTATGTATATTGTAGTTCCTATACAGGCAGGGAAACTTGTTTGATTTATATACTTATCAATGTACGGTTACATTTTCTAATTTTATCTATACCATTTCTGCTCTTTAGCACCGTGTTTCAGTTACCTGTAACTGACAAGATGATTAACCCTTTGACGGGCGGTGGTCCATATATGGACCACTTTTTTTGTTTATTACGATAGAATTGTGCCCATAATAGCTAGAACAAATTTGAAAAAGGATTTGAACAGCTGGAAGAATTTCCGACCTGGGCTGCTGTATAAAATGGTTCTATCAAAACTGTTGAAACCAGCGTTTCTGGAAAACCAAAATCTCAGAAAACCAAGTCCTCGAGTTCGATCCAGAAATTCTTTACAAATACGTCTGTCGTGTAGAGCAAACATTTTTGAAGAAGATGAGATGTCTCCGAGCTCGTTGCGACATATTTTGATGAAACACCATTCAATTTACGGAAGACACTAAGCCATGTTTTCCGATTAGTTTTGCTGGTACGGGATCTTTCTTAAATTGAATGCTGTTTCATCAAAA